TTACCACTGAAACTCGGACAGAAAGTTACATTTTATGGTTCTTAGCAGAACAGGAGGTGAGAGAAAATCCTCCGATGGGGACACCCATCCTGGTGATAACTGTTTAAAGAGGACTCCTCCTCCCTATTCTATCCAAAATAAAAAAAAAGTTTTAACAAGGGATGCACTTTAAGGGTTCTATTCATAAATGTTTTCACACAAGGTTTACACATTTTTTATATTTGGATTCTTTTGGAAAATGTGTAAATCTTGGGTGAAAAGATTTCAAAGTATGTGCTCAAAATCTGAAACACCAGTTTCGAAGAGATTCAAGCTTTAAAATGTTTCATTTTTTTGCAGTAAACATTAAAGATTGTATTTATGGTTCAAGCTCCTGCACAATGTTTCATGAATTTTTTCACCTGTCTTAATAATGCACATACCTGTTATAAAATATGAAATTCCTTTTGGCAAGGTTTCCAATATACAGACAACAGTATACAAGATATGCCCTCTAGATTTGAGTGTAACATCAATCCCATTTTATCCCTTTTACAACAATAGTGAAGCTTAAGTGTATGAGTAACAGCATATTCTACAGATAAAGAAAATGTAATGTAATTTAAGAACTTTTATTGCAGATGGTTCTTTACGGGTGTCAAATTTAATGGCTGTGCATTTTCTCATTTCATGCCTTGAGCATGTTTGCTCTGTTCTCATCTTAATCTCCCTTTTGCAGTCACTCCAGTAAATAAATCGTTTTTAGTACTTTCCATCAACCTGACGTGAAGCCTAAAGCTATAGATACTGTTCAACATTTTTTCCACTACTGGTGTCTTTCCAGTCAATCTTGATCAACCAAAAGCAGAACGTACTGAGACATCATTGTTCAGTTCATCACAAGAAGCATCAGGGTTACTGTCAACATATAGGCAAGGTAAACACAATTATCACCAAGTAGGTAAATCGGATAGCCTGGCTTATAGAACTTTTTATATATTTCTGCTGTTAAGAATGTTTAAACCCTGACAATGAACTTCTCTTACTTTGCTCTCTTAAATACTGTATATCATTGAAAATGTTTTGTTATAATGTAGCACCCCTCAGGTTTAGCTTGGGGGAGTTAGTCAAGTTTTAGGCAGAGACCGAATAGTAGCCTGGGATAAGTGAACCTGGGATGAGTAAGCCAGGTTACTTTGGGTCACATCCGAGGGTTCTGCAGGTCAGTTTCTTGACACCTCCCCCTGCTCTAGAAGCTTGAGAAGTGACTAGAAGGCAGTGAGTGGGGGTGAGGAGGGGCTGATCTGCATAATTAAGGGATCTTGGCCAATCCTCAAGCAGGAGGCTTGGAATAAGGCCAGGGCAGCCCTTATATATGATTGAGCCTGATCAGCAGGGTAGTAGAAATGTTGGGTGAAAGATGGTGAAAAGGCTGGAGTGTGGAGCCTGGGAGGGGACCCAGGAGAGGGGCCAACCTGCAGGTAAGAGCAGAAAGGAGGATCTCTCTGCCTCATCATCCCCAGAGAGAGGAAAGCCTTTGGAGCAGGGAAGGAGACAGCCCAGCATAAGGTCTGAAAGCAGCCAACAACCCACTATGCTCACAGGAGAGACAGAGTGAGTAATCCTACACCCCCAAGTGCCAGATAAGGAGAGAGGGCAATCAGATAGAAAACCTAACTAGCTTCTCATCTGGGGCTGCTTTGAAAGTAGCAGTTTCTGGGTCCCCTTGCCCAGGGATACTCTCAGGCAGCTGGGTAAAGAGGAGAATTCATTTGCGGTCTGAGGTGGTACACCAGAAGGGCTGAAGAGTAACTTTTTGTCCACAGACTTATGCTAAGGAGTAGCCCTCGCAGTTCACAGTTCCATTGGGCATCCCATACACCCCTCAATTCCATCCAAATTCAATACCCCTTAATACAAAAACAAGGACTGTTTACTGTCTCCAGTGTGCAAGTGTGGAAGAAAATGCATGTTGCCTGGCTGTACAGAACTATAGGGGGACACAAAACTCAGCGACTCCTAAGAAGGTAGTTCAAAAATACTCTTTGAACTTACTAGAAACCTACTGAGCTTTGAAGCTTCAGAGGAGTGATCATAATGGTGAGTTACTATGAGGCGGGACTTAGTAACAATATCCCTCAGGTGTTTGTGCTGGAGCACACACTGCATGGTGAAATAGACCAGTCACTGGGGGCGCTGCAGCAACAGAAAGAGGAGGACTTCCTTCTGTCTCAGGGCAAATGGGATCCTTTGAATACTACCTCAATCCCTGACACCAAGAGCAAAGAAGGAATACAAGTAGGAGGAGGAGGCTTAAGATGCTAGTGGTGAGTAGGAGAAGAAGGAAATAGGGCAGGCTTCCAAGGGTACATTTCACCTCTCTCAAACATGGATGGGGTAAAATTGTTAAAGGACAACATTGTTTTAAATGATACAGACAGCTCAGGGTCCCCTGTTTCAAAACATTTGTGGAAAATGGGCTCATTTATGCTTGTACAAGAACTCCAGGATTCAGGGATGAAGGAGAGGGACCAATGCTGCTTGGTCACCATTTTAGATCCCTGTTAAAAGGGGAAAATGACAGATCTCATGTTACTATCCCAAATAAAAAAAATGCTCCACAAAAAAAAAAGCACTGTAGAAAAAAGTTCTTGGCTGCATTTCCACATAGTGGCAGTATCCGCGCTCATGCCCAATGTGACTCTGATCCTCAGATCTCTAAGGGAGAAGAAGTGGTGGTGGATGCCTCAGTGGTGCTTTTAAGTTGTTTTGCTTTTTAAGACAGTAGTCACAAACAGTGCCTAAACCATATGATCTCAAACTACATGGCATCTAGGGCAGATATAGACACTCTTGGATCTAAGGACCCCATGGACTTTTCAATATTCAGATTGGACCGATGACCAGAGCTTGCACAAGAGTACACAATAGAACATTTGGCTTGTTCTGCAGCCAGTGTCTGTCTGAAAAGGCATTTACTGTAGCAGAGAGTTGTGGGATTGAAGGACAAATCTGCCTGTCCTTTGACATAGCTGATGGCTCACCTGCATAAAAATGAACTAGTCTTGGATCAGTAATGATTATAAAACCCATGCAGCTAATGCTACCATCTACATTTTATCTTGTAATCTGCCCCCCTCCAAATGATACCTTACACCATTACCAGCTACTGCCATTGCTGCTGGCCTGCAACCATTGTCAGCTCATGCCGCCTCTCCTGGTCTGCCACCTTTACCATTTCCTACCACTGCTGCTGGCCTACCATCATTACCAGTTCTAGCATTATCAACTCCTGCAGCCTCTCTTGTCCTTTTACGTCCCCCTGTACTGTAAAGGTACCACACATTATTTTTTAGCTGGTTCTCAATGCAACATTGTTTGTTTTTTGCAGAGTAAATTCTGCATTGCATCTCAAAACGTACACCATATTCTTAGGTACTGTAAAGGTACCACACATAATGTTTACCTAGCTTTGTTGGGAGCAAGAATTATTGTTGGTTGGTAAGGGATCAAAAACTTATTTTACTCACTGAACTGCAACTCAATTTATAACATTAGTATCATGTGTTTTTTTCTGGATTTTTGGTTGATATTCAATCATTTAAAATACACCTATGATAAAAATTATAGACCCTGCATTTCTTTGTAAGTGGGCAAACTTACAAAATCTTCAGGGGATCAAATATTTTTTTCCTCCCTGTGTCAGCCCATCTCTAAATGGCTCAACTATGATACAACCAACAGAACCTTAAAGTTTAAAAACTGTTGTTGTTGATTAATAATAACCATTTACCCTGCTCCCACCCTTTCACAATAAACAAAAAAAAAAAAAAAAACATATACCCTTTTTTTACTAAGTTGGGTCCGCTGTAATATGACCTTCCATTCACCACTATAAGTGAGGTCTGGCAACCAGTCTTGTCATTGCCCTTCTATTTGTGATGTCATCAGGCTACCCATGGAGTCCTCAGGACCCTGTTAGAGGCCCACCAATGGACCAATTTCTACAACCGATTGAAAGCATCAACATCACCACAGAGCAATAAGGGCATTTGAAGAAGGACCCACCTGCACAACAGACATCTAAAAAGAAGACGTGGGACCTGCTCTGCTATGTTACTACTTATTCTGATAATAATTTGGGACATTTAGGTAGTTTTTTTTTTTTTTTTTTTTTAAATAAAACATGTAGGTTAGCTAAAGAGGAGAGCCATGGACAAGGCTTTATTTTATCCCTGGCCAGATATTATCTTTTACCATACCAGTCCTGAATGATGCTGACCAGCTAACAGGACCTTCCACTTCCCCAAAGGTACTCATAAACTCACCAGGATTTCTGGCATCTGCCAAAGTTACCAGGTTGGCATTCCAGACCTGCTGAATGTTCTTTTCAGTGTTGAAAACCTAATTTGAGTACGATCTTTTTATTATAGTTATTGTAGACTGGGTGCTATCAAACGATGACATTTGTTCTGCCAGTATCTTACATGAATGTCTAGACTACTATGATGATCCTGGAGCAATATAAATTCATTAATGAAAATAAATAATTTAGGTTCAAGTAAAAAGCAACCAAATACAAAGGTGTTCCCTTATGACTGTAGTTTACATAGATTTTTCAATGAAAGGCAAAACATAAATTAATAAAGGCCAAAACAATGTTAATGATAATCCCGGTGGCTGCCCTATGGCTATTAAGCTACGACCCCATTACACAGTCTATTGATTTTTCAATTGAAAAATGTATTTGTTTAAGCTGCAGTTTTCAAGTATTGTCTATTACAGTCATAAGACAAGATATATTCTATATTATAAATGTTGTGGTCTGCTGTAGAACTGAGCAAACTGACCCATACAATTGAGTTCTGACATAGATCGGGCCACATTTCTTTGCATTATTGGTATCTACATAGAATATTTTTTTAAGGAGGACAAAGTTGCTATGTAAAGCTGACCACCTTATATTCACCTTTCCAGTGCCCTCACTGCTTACTAATCTGTCGCTGCCACCACCAAAATACCTTGTGCTTCCAAGTATGAAGAAACATGCAACCTACTCCAATAATACAGTGCTTGGGTCTAGCAGGTCTAAAGCACTAGGTCTAAAAGCACTAGGTCTAAACACTTTCAAGTGTTGATGATGTCACTATTCCCTCTGAGCTCTGACACCAGCAGTAGGATTGTGACAGTGTTAAATCATGGGAAGTCACAAGCACCCTCATAAATGGAAGCACTGGGTATTCTACAGCGGGGGTCATAGAGAAGGGAGCAGTGATGTAGTACTGGAGAGCTGAGTATAAATTAGGATTCTCTTAATACAGACACAATCACTTTGTACTCAATGGTAAAGGTGATAATGTCTCCTTAAATGATTTTTTATGTGCAATCCAATCAATCGAAAAGTAGTTACCTGAAGTCTAGTGTGCTAAGACACCCTTGGGCTTCTTGTATCTCTTGAACACTCTAGTGGTGAGATTTTCCAAAGGTCCTGCTCTGTACTCTTCCACCTTCACGTTTAGAGCATTTCACACTTCGGGTGTTACTGGTACTTATTATATTCCTAATGTTTATTTTCTCATTATGGTGTCCTTTATTCATGCAGCGGTAAATGACCTCTGCTCAGTTCTCCGACATTCTCGGAGAAGACAATTCTCCTCTGAATGCCTTTTTATGAAGTGGTGTAGATCAGTTCTCTTCGTTTGCGGTTCCTCCAATTCTCCAGCTCTGAGCTGGAGAATCTGGAGAGAGAACACAGATCGCCAGTGAAGGGCTGACATCGTTCCTTCATACACTGGCAGTCTGTGTGCTGAGATGATCAGCGGAGAACATGTTCTCCACTGATCATCTCTGTTTCCTAAACCACTAATGATCGGAGATCAGCAACGATCCTCAGGACTGCCGCTGATCTCTGTTTCATAAAAGGATACCTCAAGTAGAAAATGGCAGAAAAAAGTAACATGTCTGTCACTGACACATTTCGAGGTACTGTGTTTTGAAAAATAACGGACCCCTCAATGTTTGTTCTTTCCATTTCAAGAAGATCACCCAGTGTGTTAGATGTCCAGCCCAGGAACTAAAGCACAACAATCTTACCAACCTATAACAAAGAAAACATTAGAGCCCCCAATCAATATTGGCAAACTAAGAAACTGAGTTTTATCTGAAACCTCAGCCATCTATGATATCCAAACCTGACCTTAAAGTCTGAATCACTGATTGGTAGCTGTGAGGAAATAATTCCAGTTTTAAGTAAGAACATATGAATACATCAGATCCTAAGTGGCTTAGCTCTCTTGCATCTAACAAATGAATAATGAAAGACTTTCTTCTCTATTAAAGCAAATTTAGTTATGCATTTTTTATTTTATTTTAATCCCCTATGCTTACTTTGAGATGATCTAGAGTTTGAAAGATGTGTGTTTGTAATATTTATTTTTTGTTACATTATTTTATTTGTCATTGAACTTGATACCATTTTGAAACCTAATCAGTAATAATAAAAATAAAATATCATGAGCCCTGAGCGATACTAAGGCTATTTTCCCCACTCTATATATTCACTCTGTTAATACATTATTCCCATGTTAGTAGAAGATAAAAGCATCTGTATAAAGAATTGCTTGGGATACACTGAAAATCTCTTACTCTAACCTTACTTTCCTTTGTAAATTAGTGTCCTCTTTACAGCAGCTCAGCCATACAGCTTGGTCACTGCTCCACATTCAGCCTGCTGATTAATAAAAAGGAGAACCAAAAAAGTAATGAAGCCACTTTTGGGTTTTTCTATGGTCACAATCTCTCAGCGTTGTGTTTATAACATTGTTCAATGTGGCAGAATCTCACCAGCCCCCACTACTGCTTCTCCCTCTTTCCTGCTGTCATGAAGATTATTGGAAGCTAACACAAAGATAGATCCAAGTACATATATTAGCGTATATAATATTAAATTTTAGAGGTTCAAATTATAAAATTACAAAATTATGAAAAATACATAACTAGATTAAATTGTGGTCTTTGTTTGCCTTGAGTTCAGCCTTGAATTGAACCCGTGCTTTGCTCACGCAGGCTCATTTAGGGGCTCCCTTCATATACACTTATACTCTTTACTCTCCTGCTGCTCTGTTCAGCAGCATGGAATTAAAAATAAATATCCAGTATTTCCAGATATGAGGAGCATCTGACTCAATATCCTTCCTTTAAGGAAGGCGAAACAGTCTCCCTGCTGGATGGATTTTATTTAATTGACATTCATCTTAAAGCAGTTCTAAAGCCTAAACATTTTTACCTTGCATTACAGTAATATATGTTTTGATAAAAGTATCACCCTCACTCCCCCCATACTTACCTGAGTCGTCACTCGATCCAGCCCTGCAACTTTCTCTTCTCACTTTCTAGTCTCACAGGCTTTGCTGTGACAGTGGGAGCCATCATCAAGTCCTGTGACTAGGGAATAGGGGGTGGGGACATAAGCAGCGAGGCTCAGGATCAAGAACGCAGGTGTGCCAAGTTAGGATTGGCTTTCTATGGTGGTACACCAAGAAGAGTGGGACCAGGAGCAAAAGAAAAGAGGAGGATCAGGGCCACTCTGTGCAATTCCAATATTAAATAAAAAAACTTTTCAAACACTTTAGGCATTCTTCTGATCCTCTAGCTTTCAGTGGCCTTCTCCTCCACAGTGGCCTGCTGGCCGATCAGCATGTTGCATTGTTCCTCACTCTCTTTACTTCTCCGTTTTTATTAATGTGGAAATAAGTAAATATGAGAGTGCATAATATAACAATACAGAAATTATAGAAAACATAAATAGTAAAGGATGTTATAGGAAGCAAGGCAGTGCACAGTATTCTCACACCGAAGAATGAGCATGAGGTTTCACAGCACAGAATCAGGTGACAAGAGGATGCAATTTAGATGCAAATATAAGTGGAATTTCCCTCAGTATATTACATAGTGATTATAGATGTTGCCAAATATCAAGTATCAGTAGAAAAAAAACTGATAAAATGGAAAGAATAATTTTGCATTGCAACATTTTAGAACCAGAATCTGTTTTTCGCCAGCTCCCAGGTGTGAACAAATGGATCACTTGCCAATACTCTGTCAGTCTTTGTTGCATTTACTAATCTTTTGTGAGTATATGACTGTTTTTCAGTGTTGGGTTACCGGTCAAAGCCATGTCTCTGTGTATCACATACCCAGCAGTCATTGTGAAGGCTAGTGTAAAACAAGTAAAGGTCTCCTAGACAGCAATTTATTGGTTCACCTTGATGCACTTGAACAGGTTGACTGGTCAAGATCAAATCGTGTTGACCTATCACATACTAACATAGTAGTAAATCCAATTCATTCAGATTAGAAATTTTTTAGAGAGCAATTTTCGAGAAAAAAAACTTGGATCTTTTTTTCTCCAAGATATTTTAATCATGATCTCATCACCTTTTCAAGACAAAATCATATTATCCTTCATCCCTAGAGCAGTTTATTGATGTATGCTTCAGTTACATCAACTATAAAAAGAGCTATGATGGCCCACTGGCAGCTCTATGTGTAAGATAGGGAGTTTTTGTTGGAAAGAACTCAAGATGAAATAGCGTCCTAGTTTCTAACAGTATTATATGACAGATGGGTCAGATAGAGATAATTCCACACAATACGTCTTCAGTTATCCTTTCGCAAACAGATAGACAGGTCCTTTTCAACCTGCAATTGTAGGCACATTTTGTTCCATTTTAAAAGAATGCAAGAAATATTTTCCTGATTTCTATCTGCCTTTAATTAAATTTTCTACAACAAAGACAGCATTTGTTTGATTATGACACAGAATTGGTTTGATCCCAGTGCCGATGTTTCCATGTATTAAAGTGGTGGGGATAGAAGGAAGTTCAGGCACTTAGCAATGAAAGTCAGCTCAAATAGACAGCTTGGCAGATCTAGAATGTTGGGCAGCTTATTGCTGTATGTCGGTGGATGTGTGTCTCATGTGCTGCCTGTTGCAAGGCCAGAAAGCTTCTGCAGTATGACCAATACCTAAACTTAGAGGTTTAAGTTCATATTAAGGCTGTGTATTAGTTATAATGGAGCCAGGTTAACAGAGTAAGCTCCTTTCTTCTTATATCTCCTGGATACTTAGGCACTGAGGTATCCCTGCCATAATTCCTGAGTGTTCCTGCCCTTGCATGGGTTTTTGGTGTTTCTGTTGGGACAAAAATGACAGTCAATAGCCGCTGCCCTTAGGACTACCAACTTTTGGTCCATGGAAAATCAAATGGGATGAAGGGTGAGGGGTGTTGCAACATGGTTGAATTAAGTGTGATATAATGAGCATGGGAAAAATATAACAAGGTTTTTATTAAATAGTATGTAAACACTCACAATGCACTTCTCTTATTTGCTCCTTTTTGGTTTGGGTAAATATACCAGTGAACGCATTTTGTTATATCTGTGTGATAAAGGCAAAAAAAAACACCTGTGGATTTTATCAGAAGATCAGAGCTGCGCTGTGTCCTTTGCACAATTCCACTGTTATCGATGCTATTAATTAGTCCTTCTATTTTCTATCTTGGACTACAGAGTGATTGGATTTTATGTTGTGGAGATGAAAGAGTGGGTGGCTCTGAGTAGCTTAACAAAAGAAAACTGGGAGAGCCAGGGCCATGGATAAGAGCCACCAGTCTTCCTGTTTGGGACCCAGGCCAGCAGGGAGGACAAGGCAGCTGGATGGATCGGATGTGGGTAGGGAAAGTAATCAGCATGGTGGGGGGATTACTGGAACCGATCCCCTGTATGGCTCTCTCTGGAGCAGCTGAAATCTGGCTTCTTCTCCTTTCCCTCCCGCAGGTTTTCAGCTAATGCAGAGAGAGCCATACAGGGGATCGATTCCAGTAATTGTCCTCCCACCTCACCCCTCATCCTTCCTGTGCACCATACGTTACCCCTTCTTCCCATGACCCCCTGTGTGCCCCCACCCCGTAGTGCTGCCAGCTTCCATCCACTCCTTCCCACTGGCAGCTGCACACAATAGGATCCTTCAGATGAAGAGTGGAGGAAGAGTCTGGTAAATATGTCACATGTACCAGCCCCTTCCTTTCCTGAATAAACA